CCACCAACGGTCATTTGTCCCCAGGATCACGGAGGCTTTCCAGAATGAAACAAGCCGTACAGCAAGGGAAGACTTCCGCTCCTGCTGATTTGCGGTATTTGAAGAAACCGCATTCCAAGGTAGACCAATCGCAGCGTTCGAGTGTGGTTAGCTTCCTTGGCCACCTATACAACAGCGTAGCGGAAACGTTACCAGACTTTCGAGATGATGTTGAGAGCGCCAAAGCCGATGTAGAACTGGTGGCTGTGAATCAGGGTTCAGACGATGAGGATGCCTATGGGGACTTGATTCAAGTGCGCGCTGAGAGCGCCAACGAGAGCCAGGCAAAACGATCCAAAGAGCGGAGAATGCGTGGCTGCGTGGAGCTGAATGTGGCACGGAAGCCGGGGGTTGGTGGGCAGGAGACCCGCTATTTACCACCAGGGCAAATGAAAGACATGTGGGAGCAATACAGACTTGGGCTACAGAATTCCACGACGAAACCTGCAAGTTTCAGTCTTTTTTGGCGGGAACTTTGGTTGCATTCATTTCTTTTAAAGAATGATTTTTTGGTGAGGGTGTACTTTAAGTTTGTTCATCATTGAAGTATAATGTTGGTACAACCCCCACGCCAGGTTTGGTTGGCTGACTTCCCATTCTTGCGAATAAGACCTAGCCGGAGCCACCCTGAGTGCGCGGTGTGCGTCAAGATGAAGCTCTGGATACGACATCTGGGAGACCATTTGCACGCTAGACGGCAACAGCTTGCTGCGTACCACAGCCACCTCCACCACCAGTACATGGACCGGCTATGTTATTGGGAACAAAGGGGGGTGAGCCGTGCCCACGATGGCAAGACAATTCTTGCCATCGTGGACGGCATGGATCAGGCTAAGTTTGCATACCCCCGACATTTGGGGTTGAAGAGTCGCCTAGTGATAATGACGGGGCTTTTTGTTTTGTTATTGTTCCCCGATTCATTTCATATTGTTTTCGTTTGCTGCTTGACAGCCGCCCACTTCTAGCGCTCACTGTCTCAGGCAAAGAGTTCCAGAGGCTGATGAGGCCTCGTGCCCATGTGGTGGGGTGCCTGGTCCACGGCTACATGGTAGCATTCGCAGTGACAGAGCCAGACTTGCCCAAGGACAGCGCAACTCACTGTGAGCTTATCGCCCACATCCTGACAAAGTTAGCTCAGCAAGGGGTGGTGCTTTCTGAAGTAAGCTTCACACTCCAATGTGATAATACCCCTCGAGAATGTAAGAACGGGATCGTCATGGCCTTCCTAACTTCGCTGGTGAGCCGGGGATTCTTGGATTTAAACAAAGTTTTTCATAGTATCTTGGGTGCCTAGTGGCCTAGTAGACTACACTGTCAACGGCCTGTCCGTGCGCGCGCCTCCCCACATCAGGAATCATTCGGGAGGCCACATTGTCCTCACTACGCACAGGTCACAGTCATGAGGACATAGACCAAACATTTGGTCGACTCGCTTCCTTCATGATTTCCCACAGTGCTCAAACACCCATCGACTTCGTGCACGTTATCCAAGCTTTCCTCCAACAGTCTGACTTTCCTTTTGAGCCTGCAGCCCACCGATGGGCTTTCAAGATGGACCAAACCAGGGATTGGTCGGCTGATTTGGGCTTCAATCCCTTTTGCACCGTATTTAATTTTCATTGATTCCCACCAGCTGTGTTTTTATATGTTTTTTTCAAGACTTGAGACACATCTTGACGCCCTTTGTTTCAAGGAAACCCTTCCTGCAAGCTGCTGTGCCAGTGCACCTCAAAGGCATCGGAGGTAGCGGCGCCCCTCATGTCTTCAGATTTCAAAGAAGGTCGAATTGCGGCCACTGAGATGTTGATTCAGATTCAGCAGATATTTTCAATGTCAAGCTTTGGAGATTGGAATGAATTGGGTGGTAAGGTTTTGGTGAATCCATGAACGATTGACAACGTCCCAGGTTTGCAGCCGAATGAGATTGAGGACAAGCACTTCAAGCTGAAGTTGGGCCAAATGGGAGCGGACGACGTGATTCTGAGGTCACTTTGATACAAGTTGAAAATAGAATGAAATCTCACGCATCTCTAAATGCTTTCGACTTTTTGAAGCGTGTTCCAGGTTGACGCTAGGTAATAGGCAAGTAGGTGCTCGCACGCTACTGTCAATGCTGAGGACAAAAAGGTGGATGTCGGACCAGGCTTTCGCAAAGGCCATGTTGTACTACCCTGCGCTGTTGGGCGCCGAACTGCTTCCTTCAGGTGTGCCAGCAGGCTTGTGTTTTTTTACAAAGCTTAAAGGCCTGACTGCAAACCACAGGTCTACAAATTTGACAGACAGCAAAGCCAAACTAATTGTCAGAGGCCTGAGGCAGAGCATGTGTGCTGGGTTTTGTGTCTCAACGCCGCCCCTGTCAGCCATCGCCGCAAAGAGACCAATTGGCGCCGATGTGCGGGATAACATCCTGTCCCATTTGCCAGCCTTGCGCAGCCCAATCTTCCAGCTCAATAGGGCTGCAGACCATTTGGAGAACTGGGTGAACGGGGTGTTGGATTTAGAGCCACTCCTAGATGTGCGATCGCGCCCAAGCTGAGCCGGCATTGAATTTTTGTCCTTGTCGACACCCCAATCTACAGCAGGGGCGTCCCAATCTACAGCAGGGCAATAATTCAATTCCCCTTTAAGTTGTCCCCGCCGCTATTTTTGCGTCGTGCGTCCCAGGTGCGCAGCGTCAGCTTCGAGACGGGCGGAGCCCAGTTCTGACAAAGCTCCACTGGCTGACAACTTTGAGTCGTCGTCCAACTTGTTGACGTGTCACGGCAAACAGTGCGAATTTTCTTTTTGTCCGAAGAGCCGTGTTGTATTTGCGCTAGGTTAGCTTGAAAAGTGGCGCGCGATCGATGGGAAAACTTCCTGCTCGTCTCCAGGATCCAGCGTGTGGCCCAGAACCGCAAGGCTCTGGCTGTGTACATGCAGCAGGCAGAGGACCGCAGAATGCTTGACATTGCTGCCCGGACTTGGGCGGGCGGAGTGCCCTGGGATGAGGCGATCAAGATTGGTAGAGATGTTTTCAAGAAGATGAAGCGTAAAGACCCAAGAAGGGCAAGGGACAGCGCAGGGTAGATGATGTTGTTATCAGAAAACTTGTTACTTTATTCCTTTACCTGTGTGACCAGAACCATGTCTAGTTCCTGCGCTATCCGGATTTTTCACCCGCTTTGTGGAGCTTGCAGTGACGCTAGGTTTTAGGGTTTTCGAAGTACACAAAAGCAACAAGTTAGAATTTAGCGTGTTCACACGTTTTCTGCAGCAAGCTGCAAATGCCTTTTTTTGAGCTGGCCGGCGCCGGTTACCGACGCACTTTGGTTGAGACGCACTTTGGTCTGGGGCTGAGCTCGAGTGCGGGACAGACGCAAGTCATGACCCAAAGAAATTGCAAGGCATGCGCTTGTTGGAAGCCTTAACTAGAGAGGCTATACGTTTGCTGTCAGTTAGCGCACACAGAGTCAGAGTCAGAGCAACTTGAAGTTTTGTTTTTTCCCCCACCGCCGATATTTTCTTGCCGCGCAGTCCAACCAATATGGTTGATTGTTTTTTGTTTGAGGTTTCCGCCATCAGTTCGAGACTATGGCGGCGGTGCGCCAACTTCAACTCAGAAGGCAAGTTCAGGGTGATTGGGCGAGAGGATGCGTACTCTCCGTTATGATTGTGCTTCCTTCAGGTTAGGGGCTACCGTGTTTCATGTAGGCTGTTCATGACTTCTTGATGTGTACGGAAACTTTTTTTGCTCAAAACCTATATTTTGGTAGTGGCCTGCACCTCCCGAATCTTTGATGATGTCTTCCAATTTGCCGGTCACCGGAAGCGCGCTGCTTCCAGCTGCGCTTTTCCAGCAAAAGCTGGCGTCGTATGAGCATGAGCGAAGCCACGTCTCGTTGGCAGCAGAGATGAGGCTTGTCTTGGAAATGGCCATTGAAGAGATTAAGTCCTTGGAAGAAGACATGTGTGTCCCGTCTCTGGGGTTTTTCAAAGCAGATCTCGAGGCTCTCAAAACATTCGCCCAAGCTGTGGTGGAGAAAGGTGCAGAAAGCTTGCCTCCAATAGGAGTGGCGCAGTCGCCAAACATCCCGGTGGAAGCCACGGAGCGAGGAAAGGCCATCGAACAAGAGGTTGCGGGGTATTGGCAGGGTTTGGAGTCATGGCAAGCCTTCAAGGTGTACAAGCATGTGGACACCCTCTCAGAGTACTGTTTCCGCATTGGCGCCACCATTGAGTGGGATGAAGTTGGGGCGTTGGGCGTGAGATTGCAGAGGGCCTTGGGGTGCAAGCTGCGGATTGAAGACGGCAGAGATTGTTGGGCGTGAGCGGGCTGAACTTCGACAGCATTTTAGCAGATGAGGCCTGACAGGCCTCAGGTTCAGGAATAGGTCACGTAGTATACTTTGTGCACAGGGAAGGTCAAAATTGTGAGCGCCGGCTTACCCTATGGATGTCGTGATATGTCGTGGCGTCAGAATACACTCGACGCCGGATGTTTTGAAGCGTGTTTTTGTTCATTGCGTTGCGCAAGGCGCGATGATGGTTGCGAGAATGGTTCCTCGGATGGAATAGTGTTAGGCGTGTCCAGGTTGACATACCGTGGCCGTTTAGTTTTGGAAATATGCCCCTTGGTTGTGGCAACGCGCAACGCCCCATGAGGACTACTGTATGTCAATTTTCACTCCAGTTTTGGCAATGAAAAACGGACCCACCCAAATAGTAATAGTCAGGTTTTGAAAGGTTGGGGGGAGCCTTTTTCATGTCAAAGTCTGTCCGAAAAATCGGCGCTACTGAAGAACTAAGTCATGGGTGATTGGGTTGTAGTTTGTGTATTAAGATTAATGTTGGCCCACGGCCCACGTATACAGCTGTGCAAGATTGGAAAGGTGTGAGGTGCAGGTCCGGTCCACATCGCAGCGTCTGTCACATGTGCTGCCAAGGCTGCGCCCTGGAGTACTTGGCAGGACATGTGGCGCAGGCCAGTTGTTGTGGAAGGTTTCTGTGACACTATAACATTGGTGTGAATCTCAAATCATGTCCTTTGCAACCACTTACCTAAAAAAAAACTGACAGTCTTTTGCGTGTGTAGGGTTCTTTGACCCGAGCTCTTCTCCCTTTCTGCTTGGACCCAAGCCCCTGTCCTTTTTCTTCTTGACTGACTGAAGCGTTGCTTGTTTCAACCAGCGTGAGAACCGCAACACGTGCTTGAAGCCGCAGTTGAGTGCTGTCAGCGTTCGGTGGGTTGTGTTCAGAGCCTTGCTCCGTGATGTCTTGCCTGCCTCCGGTCACAGACCTGTCCAGGCCTCAAGCGCTTGATGGTTGACTTGTGAAACTGCGCGTGTGTGAAACCATGCAATCTTGCAAGAAAAGGAGGTGTGCGACTCTGTCTTTCAGGTCTGATGAGGATGGCTGTGAAGTCAACCCCGTCAAGAAGCCACCCGCGCGGCTTACCATGAAAGCAATGAAAAAGGCACATTCAAGGGCTCAGAATTGCGAACGATCTTTAGATGGCTCCTTTTTTTTGCTAGCTCCTCCCACACACAACGAGAGGTTCGCACCAAGTTCAAGAAGAAGACCGCCATCAAGACAATTGTGAAGAGAAATCTCAAGGCTGCCCGTTGAGCTACTTACCAATTGAATTGTTTTCTTGAACTTGTGTTTCCGCGATTTCTGGCTTGCGCCAGCTGCCACCTCACGGCAAAATCAGCTGCCTTTGTGGACTCCACGCAGCCGCTGTCCCGTTGCAAAAGGCCCCGCAACTGTCTTGGGAGGTTGCCCTTGGCTCAGATTCCCCAGAGTACTGAGTAATCAATTCTAAGATGATGTTCTTCCACAGTGTTTTCTTAATAAGGTATCCCGCAGCAGGCCTGGCAAGAAACCTAATGGGGCTACCATATTTAGCGGTTCCAAGTGGCTGAAAGCATGGTCAACAATCAGTTCCAGGCTCAGTGCATCAAAGTGCTGCCAGGTAACGCTGTTCTCTTTTTTCGGATGACCGACCTCAGGATGCTTCTCGGCCACAACTTCGGTGGCCAAGTCAAAAGTAAGTCAACGCGGAATTGGAGTCTGAAACCTAGAACACATCAAGGCTTTATCTACAACTAGTTTTGAAACATCCCTGTGCGTACCACTTAGGATTTAGCGAACCAAGTTGCCTTTGGGGTGAAATACCGAGAAGAAATGGCAAAGCGTGGCGCCACTGCCGGACATTACGTGTCCATCAACATGGCTGAATGGTTTCAAGGCCGGAGTGAACCAATCTCAGTGAGTGACACTTGAGATCAAGGTTTCCACTTGCAATTTGGTCAGTTCAATTTAACTTCAGGCTTGCCGCTTGGGTGGACCAGTGATTCTCCTGGCTCTGTGCGTCAAGGGGCAGTGCCCGACCTGTTCGAGGGCATCGGTGTGTCGGAGCGGGGTATGCTGAAATGTTTCATGTGGTTTCACATTGGGGCGTGCTTCCAAACCTGAAGTCCATGTTGCCTGTATGTTGGGGTGGTCACGAACCAGCAGAGTCTAGTAGCGTGACAGGATGACAGGAAGATCCGCGCCGTCTCGCTTTTTAGCGGGGTGGGTGGCTTCGAGACCGGCCTAAGCGCGTACGGGCCTCATGTGATGCACAAGGGTCGGGTTCTTGAAGAGTGCGCGTTGCTGAGCTGCAGTTTTTTGATGTCCGTTTGGCTCAGCCCTTTTCTGGCCTTGTGGGATGTGAGCGTGTGCCCCATGGATTCGATGGGCGATGCTGTCACTGTCCGAACTGTGGGAATAAACCAAATCAAGACTCTTTGACGCATGTTGAAATTTAGATTGCAAGTTCCCGTGAGACTGACACAGCTTCAAATCCGAAGCCTGTTGTTTAGCCGTGTTTCAATCAGTGGACGAATACGCCAACTCGTAAGGATTCCTCGTGGCGTGCCTGTGTGGTGCCGATGGAAAGGTGACGAGTAGCTTGGGGAGAAATGCGTTCATCTTTGGTCGTTGGTTTTTGACATTCGTTCCATCTCAAAACCGGGGCCCATTAAGGTGGATGTGGGCGGCTGACTGGAAGCAGTGGGTGAAGATTCAGCCTGATGGGCTTCGAAATCACGTGTCAGGTCAGGACAGTCAAACTCCGTCTGCGCCTTGCCCAAAAAATCATCGAACCCAAGCACGACAGTCAGTCAATTTTCAGAAAGACACACAATGAAAACCACGGGTTCGCAATGTGTTCGTTGAGCCCCACGCCGCCCTGAGGACAAAGAATCCTGCTTGGCAGAAATGCAGCCTCCGAACAAATTGCGCAAACAGTGACTCAAAAAAACGTGCTACGTGGAGCTGGATGTTGGGCATGATTTGTGTTCAGCTTTAAGTAGCAGCTCCGCTGGGCTGAGGTTCTTCCACCCAGTGACGTTCGCCAGGGGCACAGCTGTTTTCTCAAGAACGCAACACCTTGATTTGGGGTCAGATATTTTCTCATCGTGGCCATGTTGATTGAGGTGGAGTGTGACCCTTACTGTGTCAGTGTACTGGAAGCTCGAATGTTAGATGGGGCGTTGCCAAAAAGCCCCATTGTGCGGGATGTCAGGGGTTACTTCCCCAGTGGGGCTGCTGCGACAGCAGAAGCAGTTACGCTTGGCTTCCCGTGCCAAGCCGAAGCCTAAGCTGTCATGCTTCTTGTAGCTGAAATATTGAGTTTGCAATGCTGTACCCCTTGAGTGGATGTGTATAAATTCAAAAGCTAGCTTGACTTTTGATGCCCGATCCTAGGGCGTGAGCAACGCAGGGAAACAGCGAGGACTATCAGACCCTCGATCCAACCTTGTGCGGGAAGGGTTCAATGTGTATGACAAGCTCCCCCGCGCGTGTGACTCTGAGGTTCTCATTGTTTGTACCCGGATGCCTTCGTTGTGACATCAGAACATTCATGACAACAGAAAACCGCTTTGCGCCTCACCATTGAGGCGAATGATGCTTTTCGAGAACGTCGGAGCTCTCCTTAGCCAGCAACAGCAGTGCAGGCTGCTTTTCAACTACGTTCTAGAGGATGGGAGTTGACCGTCTCAACGACTTACCCGTGGTTTGTGTTTTTAGTTTACCGGACTAGCGCCGCGGCAGGCCAAGGTTTTCGGTAGGAGATGTGAATTATATGTTATCTTGCGTTCACTGTGTTCACTGTGGGTGCCATGTCGGACACGGATCAATGTGCTTCATGGATTTGGTTGAACTAAAAGAACGAGCAGAAACCAATCAGCTTGGCTGGAGGAGTGTGGAAAGCGTGGCATGGATGTCTACTGGACATCCAACCGCATGTCCAACGTGGGGCATCCAGTCATGTCCTAAGAGCGTGACTGACTTGCCTGCTTTGCCAATGGCGAGTGCCATGATACAAAAACGTAGGGCCCCCCATTCATGAAGCTTATCGTGGCACATGCCCCTGGCCAGAAGACCACCGAAGCTTGAGGTTAATGTTTCGACAAACCCAATGAAGCAAACCGCGTGGTCCACACAGTAGCTGACAAAAAACGCATTCTTCAAGGTGAGCTGATTCAACTGTCAAGGTCTGTGGCAGACGCAGTGACCTAGCGGGACCCTGTATGGTCAACTAACAGCAGAAGTAGCTACCCCACCCTTGCGCCCGCCCCTTACTCAGGCCGGGCGTCTTCGAGTGTTCATTCTGGCCCTGAGTGGCAATGGTGGAAAAGAGTGTCTACCCAGCGTGGAGGACGCGCCCAGAAGCAGGTTTAAGTGGGGACCACAAGCCGGCAGCTAAACTATCGTAGTTATTGGAAACATTCGGAAGAACACTAGCCTTTCGAACCAACTCTTTTCTTCAAGGTTGTCGGGGAACTGCCGAAGCCGTCAGTGTTGAGAGCTATCTTATTGCACAAACTTTGCAGAAGGGCCGATTGCTACAGGAGGTGCTGCCGCTTGATTTTTTCGCAAAGAAACGGTGGAACGAGACGAGCACTGTCCCTCTCCATCAGTGGTTGTGTGATGTCAAACATCCCAACCATGAAGCCAGGATGTCGTGTTTGGGGAATGTTGTTGTGCCACCCTAAACCCTAAACTCAAAAAATTTGGGTGCGGCATGGACATTACTATTTCTAACTTTCAAAAAACAGAAAGCAATTCTTCACTAACCATGAGCTATCATCGCACTAGAGTTAGTGACCGATCCGACCTCTGATCTGTCACTTTCTGCCCTGTGGCAGGGAGGGGGGTGGGCAGGCCTGAATCTTGAAAATTGTCATTACCATGCCAGGTGTTGAGTTAGTGACGGATCAGACCTCGGATCCGTCACCAACTCCCCAATCCAAAGCGTAGTCTCTTAGTGACAGGATTTACGCTTACAACTTTGGGAAGTTAGTGACGGATCATACTATGATCCGTCACTTATGCTTGTTTGGTTGCTAATAGGCCTTTCTTGAGTACGACCGTCGCAAGTTCAATTTTCACGACTCAAGCCGAATGGAAAGTTGTAATCCTGCACTGAGAGGTACACGTTGTGGGGCCATACTTTTGGCAGGCGGGGGTGGGTGTTGGAGCTTCAATTTTAGCGCAAAGTTAAAGTTACAAGAGCTGCTGCTGTAAGTCAGAATGAATGGTGGGAGCAGCGCAGCCAGGCTCAGGGTTGAAGGAACATTTTCACAAGTTGCTATCGCAAAGGGCTGGAGTGGCGTCGCCATGCCGCCAAGTTCCGCCTTGCTCATTGGCTACAAGTGGGCCAAGCGAATTTTGAAGAATGAGAAGGTTTGGGAAATTAGGTGCCAGTCTACTAAGAAGCGGGGACGAATCTGCATAGCAGGCACTGCCAACACTTCACCGAATCATGCAGCAATGATTCTAGGCGAGGCCACCCTGACTGCTTGCATCAAAGTTGGGGAGCGCCGTGGTTCCTTCCTATCTGCCCCGCAAGATGAGCCCAGCAATTTCCTTTGCCTCAGGCACAACCTCAGCAAGCATCGCCTCTACTCGGTGTCAAAATTGTTGAGATTTGTTCGCCCTCCAAGAAGGCAGCGTACGCATGGGTCCTGACAGACGCCGTTCTTTACCCTGAGCCAATTAAGCTGCCGTACAAGCGGGGGTGCATAGTGTGGGCAAAGCTGTCCGGCTAATTTACGTAGTGCTTGTTAGCTGGCCGGGAACTCCATGGATTTGAGCGCGCGATTGAACAAAGCACTGCCAAGGGCCAGGAGAGTCGTTATGAGTGCTAGATTGGATTCAAGAATAGATGACGCTGTTTACTTTGTGTTTGTGTGTGGGGTGTGCCGCTTTCGCTTGTTTGTTGGCACGTTTCTTTAAAACGACAAGGGGCAGAGTTCGACAATGCGCGCCTCTTCCGGCCAGGTGAGTGGGATGCGCCTGAAATCCAGCAAGATCGTTGTTGCCAGCGATTGCCTTCAAAATTTGCCAAAGGCAATGAATGATTGGAGATATAGACGTGTGAAAACTGTGAACCTCCCGTTTTCTTTGATGCAGAAACAGTAGGCGTGCACGACACCAGCAGGCTTACAATGTTGCAATGTGCTGCGCGACACATGGGAACAGCGCCGTTCACGTTTTGTGTTTTTATACATGTGTTGGAATTTTGGCACCAAGCTGGCCGAGCGTGAGTTTGACAGGGTAGAGCTCACGCGACGTCATGGGAGGAAAGCGAAAGTCGGGCGGTGGAGGTGGTGCCAAGCCGAAGGTGCTGAAGCCTGACCTTGACGGACGTTTTGCCCATGTTCAGAAGGTGATTGACTGGTCGCTAGGTTGATTTCAAGTTCTATACATGGTTCTAGAACACAGCAGGCTCGAATAGTTTCGGTTGTGTCGGTTCCCATGTGTTGTCGAGTTTCCCCCCCGCTGAAGGCTTCGTGATTATGTGACACCCTGCGGAGGGCCAGACAAATATTTGGAGACCAAGTATCCAACGAAGGAGAAGATGTGAGCTGTGCGTGCCATTGAAAACTTCGGTCCTTTGATCCCCCTTCGAAAAAGGTCTTGTGATGATCAGTGTTCAAGACCAGGAGCGGAAGCTTGACTTTGCGCAGTGGCTGAATGCGACCTTCCCTGCAGATCCAAGGCCCACCTACCAGACATACCAGCTGTCAGTGAGGTTTTTAAAAGTAAAAGTGTGCAGTACTGTTGAACTGTGTGTTCAAGGGTGCCAATTTTCCACTTGAGTTGGCCTGTGAGAAAAAGACCCCCACAAGTCCGGCTTTCCCCCTCCAAAACCTGCATTTCAGGCAGGTCGAACCGGACTTGTGGGGGTCTTTGATGCAAGCCAATCCAAGTGGACAATTGCAATTCAAGGGTGCATTGAGCTGCCAAGCGCAGCAGCTGCAGGCACAGATCACCAGATGAGCTGCGCGAGGGTGTGCACACCCTGAGACCGTACCACCTTGCATGGCGAGCCGATCACGGGTTGAGCTCCCTTCAGGAACCGGAACAGTTGTATACTCTGGCGGAGCTCTACCTGACGGAGGGGTTTCATGGCTGAGTCGATGTGCAATTTTTTCAGCAAAAGGTGTTGCCGAACCTCAGCTGGACTGAACACTTTCAGTTGAAGATGCTTGGAACCTAGGTTTCGTACAGATGCAGCTTTGCCTGGCGTAGAGCGCCTGGCTATCACTAAGCCAGATAGCGCATTCCTTGAGGCATCGTGCAAATCTTTGCCACCCTTGGCCAGTGCGCAGCACAGTCTTTGAAGGGTTCGCTCATCGTTCTTGATATTTAGTATATTTATGGTGGTGTGTTGTGTGCACCCAAAGATAGAAATTGAAATTGGGTCGCTGTGTAAGGTGATGAAATTCCGCCTTTTTCCGTTGCATATATCAAGGGCTGGAGACGATCGATCACGGCTTTGATCGTTGCAGAAGCAATCCGCACTTTGGCTCTGGATTTCGATGAACTTTCTGAACCCTACAAGGTGCGGAGGTAGCGTGTTTTTCCGAGCGGCGTCGGCAAGAGCCAAGAGAGGTCAAGAGACTGCAAAAGGAAATAGGGCCAACTACACTGCAGTTGGCCCTATTTATTTTTGTGGTCTTGACTTGACCTCTCTTGGAGGTCGAGGTAGCAAAGCGAACGTTGTTTGGTTGCTTGAGTGTGAGGGCCACTGTGAGACTCAGTTTGTTGGCGTGTCAGAACTCTATGAAGACAGTGCACGCGACCTATGCCCACTATGACCATGTGCAGGACCAGGTCCTTGCCTCTAGAGGCACCCGGCTGTTAGTCGATTGGTCTTAGCAGTCGGGTTTTCTCCATTCTGTCTTAGGTGTTGGGTTTTCTTCATTTCACTTGCAATAGCCGCCACTAGTCACTTTGTAGTCTACATGTGGCCTTGATGCAGGCATTACCATGTCCTCAACCTCAACGAGGCGAGCGCCTCACGTGTTCAATCTGATGCGACAGATGGAAGTTCTGGAGCGCGCGGGATCTTCCGGAGAATCGCTTGCTGTGCCTGAGCTGCGCTTACTTGTTTTGAATAATAAGTGCCGCTAGCTTACCTTGTTGTGTTAGTCAGCATTTGGCAATGAAAAGGCCCCTCCAAGTCTTCTGTCGAGAACTCAAAACCCAGGTTTTGGATGGGTCGCAAGCAACTTGGGGGCTTTTCTTTCATGGCCAAGTCGGGGGAAAGAACCAGCGGCCCAGAATTGGAATGAAACAAATTTCTTCAAACTGTTGGTTTGTTACTTCACTGTGTTGAGATCCTGTTTTGCGAGTTGGAGTATGTTCTGCGAATTGAGGTGTGGGACAATGCAGCCTCCGTAGCTCGCGCTTTCCAAATAGGAAAGTTTGAAAGCATGTCGGTGGTCAATCTGCAAAAGAATGTGGCTAAGCCGGTGGTGGATTCGCTTCGACAGGCCGTTCGTATGCGCGGGATGCGCGGTTTCCTGCACCACGAAACCGTCGCGAAGGGCGTGTTCAATTTGGCCTACTCATCGGGCGCCAGTTCGATTCCTGGGGCCGAAGTGTGGTCTAGCCAGCTCACAAACAAGGATGACAATGAGCTTGTTCCCTGACGACGTTAAGCTGGCTTTTGCTGCTGTTGTTCTTGTTGCTGCTGCTGCTGTTGATGCTGTGTTGTTGGTAACCCGTTCAATTTGGCTGGTTGTCAAAGTAAATAGAATGCGTCCGTGTCACGCCTCCCATGTTGAGCTTTGGGCTTTGGGGTTCACTGCCGATAGCCACTGCCGATACTGCTGCCAATTACAAAGTAACGTAGGCGCCAACAATTTCAGACCATTGAAACTGGAGTGATAGTTCCACGCTATTTGACCCATTTTGTATCCTTTGAGCTTCTCAACTTGCAGAGTTGGGGATTTGAATTTTTGGGCCATATTTAAGGACCAAACACGCAGCCCATAAGTTATTTCTCACCTTGCGCGGCTGACTTTTTCAGAAACTCAGGCTTTGCTACTTGTGCGCCGCATGTGCCAAGACTGGGACAAGTTGGCACCGAACATGCGCAAGAGTTGGGGCTTGCGTGAGAGCAATCAATTGCACGCATGCTGTGGAGGCTTCTTGTATTTCATGGGACTGCTGCGAGAGAAGGTGCCAACGAAAGAGTATGATGATGTTGCCAGCGATCTACAAAAGCAATTCATGATGGGGTTTCTCGATCCTGACATCGTGCATGCAATCTCTACCACGGCGCCACCAGCGCCTTTGGATTCTGTGGCCTTCCTGAGGAAAGGGGTTTGCGATGCAGTTTGCAAGGTTGTTTTGGCTGAAAGCCTTCTTGGTTAAAATGACCTTGTCCCATGTAAAACACTGGTGGCCCATTCAAAACAGCGCAGGAGCATTTGCACGGACATCGCGGAGCGCGGCAAGCGAGAGGTTGAGGAGCGTGACCGTGAATTGGCTGACCAGGTGAACACAGCCACTTTGAAGCAGCTCCAACTCAAGTTTGAGGCGGACTTGGGAGTGCTGAAGGAGCGCGTGCCTACGAAGGAGAAGGAAGCGCAAGAGGCGGCCCTCGACATCAAATACTTGGCTCAGAGACAGAAGACACTTGTGTCAGATTTGTTTGGGTTCGCAGTTCAAAAACCACGCAAGGTTTGACCCTACTATGCGGGGGCAAGTAGGGATGAGCCATATAGGATATCTTGCGTTGCGCTATTATCTGGGGTCAGTCTGGTATTTGTGGGTGGTGTGGAGGTTGACCAGCCTTTTTCCATTTTGTTCCTCAGGACTGGGCAGGATTACACCCGAGACTGGCTGGAGACGAGCTGCAAGTTCATTGTTGTTGACAGCGCAATGAGTTCTGCCGTCAGAGCACTGACGTCTCAGATCAGCAAATTGACAGAAGGCGGAGGCCGTGCGTACCTTGCCCATTCTTTTTTGGTGCTGGTGCTATTTTTATGTTCTTTCACCTTTGGCTTTTCTATATTGGCCACAGTCGTTTCTTTTAATTTAGGGTTTAAAGGTACGTTTTGGCGCCGCTGCTGGACGCGACTGTGTTTCCGGCAAATGCAATGGTGGTCCAGAATGCTTTGAACACGCTGGCAACGGTATTGAGCCTGGGTGTGACAAACATCGGTCACGTGCAGCTTCCAGTGCCCCATTCGAACACCGCGAGCAGCGCCTTGCTCAAGCACAGGAGGATCATTGAGGATCACCTGATGGGCGCCGGCCTGGATGTCACGCAAACGGTTGCAGTGAACTTTGCGCAGCCACAGGATGCACGGTCTTCTGATCGAAGAAGTGGGATCCAAACGTGCATCGCAGTCACGGGATCTGGCACGAGAGCGTCCCTCCATTGGTCGCCGCCTGCCTTGATTGGGCCTTTGACCCTCATCAAGTTCACAGACCTGATTGGATATGACGCTGATGTGAAGCCGGGCCCCACTGCCCGCGTCGAGCAGACACTTTGCTTGGTGAGAAATTAAGGAAATTTTTGCGCTCAGGTGTGTGCGTGTTTTTTTGGGGGGGAACAGAGTTTGAAGCAGTAGAACCTACACGCAGTGGTGTTGAGGAAGGGACTTGCAGTCCACAATGGCATCATCGATGCGTACAAAGTGATAGTCTTCGACATCCTCCCCAACAGGCCGGCTTGCAGTGCGTGTGGTCTGTTCAAATCAGTTGGCGTTTCTTTGTTGAGGTTTGAGGTTTGGGGGAGTATATAGCCCTGACCACAAGGTACGCGGAATTTGGCCGCGCTGTTTGCGAGAGACGCTTGGCCGGGCACACACCTTTTCTCTCTTACATGGGATTGATCAAGGACTCGCAGAAGGATAACCTTGCTGCAGTGGAGGAGATGGTATATAACCATTGGGATGGTAGCTCGCACGCGCCAGCAAAACAACGTCCCAAGGAGGAGAAGGAGAAACCTTCCCTGTCACTGGTCCTGTGGCACAACAACCGGCCAATCTTCCCAGATGCTTTGGTCAGGAAATTTGCTGACGGGAGTGAACAGCATGCGCAGATTCTGCGGATGAAGAAGGAGTTGGAAGACTTGTGGCCTTCTTCCGCTGGTGGGGAGAGCGCCGTTGTGAGCGCAAGGGCTGCCGGCTCGCCTGACTTTACTGGGACGCGTGTGTTGGACCTGTCTCGGGAGGTTGACCTTGCCAGAACGCCGTCCAGCGAGTTCAAGGAGGACCGGTTGCTGGGCTTTTGACGTAAGTCGGTTGTGCAGCGACGTCGTGTCCAATTGATGGGCGTAGACGTGTGGCTTGTACTGGAGGGCCCAGGGTTAATCAGTGCTTTTATGATGTTGGGGTTGAAAGCTTCCTTCTTGTGCCTTGGGGTACTTTTTTTCCCGAGGTTGGCGCTGTGCCCCGGAAAGGCGAACAGGCCTTCGATCCTGATCACGAAGTCTTTTGATATCTACCTCAGGAACTTGAACTCGGAGGCGATGGATGTTCCTTGCGGAGAACTTTTCGGCTTCAATGTGGGGTCCTTTGAGATGAGGATTGTGAAAAGTTTCTGGGCCATTCAATTTGAAACACGTTTTCTGCACATTTTACAGATAAAAGATGTTGGACAACATGCTTGATGCCGAGAACGTGAATAGCGGCTAGCGTGCTTCTGCTTGCCATGTAATGTTCTAGGTTCGGGTCCTGCTGAAACCCACACGCTCCCCTGGCGATTGGAGAGCGACATGACGTTGGTCGCCTTCGAAAAAGCGCCCATGCCATTCTGTCAATTCCTTTGCAAGATTGGGCAGGAGCGTGGGATCACTGACCTTGCCATTTGGGACCATGAATGCATGCAAAAAATGGAGCCTGCCCCTTGGCTCAACCTGCGTCCAAAACCTACATATTTTGCGCAAACCTTTGATTCACAAACGCGGTCTCAGGCTCCTGCTGGCACGGACAAATCTGGCCCTACATTGGTTCCGTGGAGGTATGACGTGAAGCCTGATCCCTCTATGTCAACGAACTGCTTCAAGCCAAATTCATTGGCTTCTGGTTTCGATCACTCGGCCCACAAGCCTTCAACTTTGGGGTGCGCTTTTGGGGGTGCGATGGATAAGGTGCCCCGTCAGTCCTCCTGTTCTCACGCGGGTTTGGTGTGGGAGGCAGGGGTTTGCAAGAAAAAACTACAAAGAACCTGTAGCTATCAATAGACGTGACCCTCAAGACCTTTTGCCGTAATGCCACTGAGATTGGGGACTTTTCATAAAGTCAGCCCAGCGGAGTTGCCTCAGGTCCAAGTGCAAGCTGGAGGATCAACGCCAAAGGTCATGCCGACCAAGCCAAAATTGTACCTCACGGCGTCGGTCCAAATTCCTCCTTTGACTTGGGTCAAGCTGTGAGCCTCTGGGTTTGAAAATTCTTCATGGTGAATCAGTCAGGCGTTTTGTGATTGGGAGGAGGCCATTCAAGATCCTTTCTGAGCATGTTGGATTCACTTCAAATAATTCAAATACTATCAACTCGACGTGTTTCCACCCCCTCCAGCTGTCAACCGGCCTGTCGATTCTGTAGGGCCTGGGGCAAGTGCGTGAGCGTGGAATCATAGCCCCAGTTGCTGGCAGTTCATTTTCCCAAAGACCACAGCAGTTCAAAATGAATGCGCTGCTTGGATTCAAGACCCATGGACACGCAATAATGACTATATACTATTGCAATGCCACTTAAAGGCCCCTTCAATCCATGTTACTAGTACGAGTGTTTGCTCTTTTGAAGCTGAATGCGCCGGCATTTTTAGTGCCCTCAAAGAAAGTGTCTGACGTTTGTGTGACTGGCAGAGTTTAGCTGTGTGGCGGATGGCAGTTCTTCCAGCAGTTACTGCTTTGAGTGGGTCTGAAGAGGAGAACATCAGTCCATGTCTTTTTCTAGATTGCTTTAATCAACGCTGTAACCAGAAACGGTTGTCAAGTTGCCTTCAAAGCTCCACATGCATTCGAAACGCGGATGCCTGAGAGGAGGGCGCTCCGGTTCGCAAGCGGCCCGCGGCGGTGGAGTGGCCTGAAGGTGAGGCGCCTGCCAAGAAACCAAAGGCTGAAGCAAAGGGAAAGGCAAAGTCATTACCAAAGAAAAAGTCGGAACCAACGGGAAAGTCAAAGGCCAAGGCGGAACCAAAGAAAAAGGCGGAAACAGCAGAATCAGAAGAACCGAAGGCAAAGGCCAAGTCTTTGCCAAAAACGAAAGCAAAGGTGACTCCCAAAAAAGAACCAGCACCAGTTGAGCCTGAGGGAGGAAATAGCCTTGCTGAAGGGGGTGGCTCTTCCAGCGCGCCTGCTCCATCTGTGATGAAGCGCCCATCTGCTCTTCGCCGCCCATCAGGCCGGAAAGCTTGATTCTTGTTTGGGCTCATTGTGCGCCATCATTACTCTGCCTGAAGTCTTGTGCCTAGTAGGTGGTGGGAGTGGTGGCGGTGGTGGCAGTGGTAGCGGTGGCGGCAGCCATGTCACCAATGTGTACAACTATGGGGGACGCCGCTTTTGCATCAAAGTTGATGGGAGTGAGATTTGCGCTCCTAGCCTGTACTTGGTGTGTCAACGTGTTTCTTCGTGCAGGTTTCGTGATTTGTGTGTCCTACACTAGGTCTGTATTGGATTGGCTTGCGCTTTGATTAAACTAATATCTCGCGTTGCGCTTCTGTTCGATTCTGCGTCCCAATCTTACAAACTGGTGAAACTAGGTTGGCGGCATGCGTTTGGATCCACAGAAGTGCCGCGAAGCCATCGTGGGCGACTCAGAAAAATGTGTGAAAAAGAGTTGCGCTATAAAACCGTACATTGAATTTTACAAAACTTTGGAACTACGAAGTTTTTACA